CGCTGGGTGTGCTAGAGCCCCACATCAGCCCCACACTAGACATCCGCGACCCGCAGTGGGCATCGGAGCCCGTGCTGGGGACCGCAGCCCCACATCAGCCCGGTATCCATCATCGGGTATCGGAGCTCCGTGCTGGGGATGGCAGCCCCCCATCAGCCCTGTATCCACTATTGGGTATTAGAGCCCCACAGTGGGGGTCGGGATCCCACATCGGGGGTCGAGCCGGAGGCGGGTGTCGAGCCGGAGCCCCACATCAGCCCCATATTGAGCATCGGGGCCCTGCCTTGGGCATCGGGCCCCATGCTGGGCATTGCAGCCGCGTATCTGTCCCTGTATACCAGAGCCCCATGCTGGGAATCTCAACCTTGTATCCATCCCTGGGTATTGGGCCACTGTGTCAGATACCAGGCCAAGGCACCACTGCCCCATGCTGGGTATCACTGCCCCACATCTTGCATCGCGTTGTCCCTGCTCCCCAGCTTAGATTCCTGCAGGACCCACTGGGTTTTGCACCAGTGGAACAAAAGGGTCCCTTGGCTCCTTGATCCCATTTCCCAACCCAGGAAGGGGACATCGCCTCCACCCTCCCTTGGAGCAGGATGGGGCAAGGTTTCAAGAAAGCAGGATTTTTTGTTTATTTTCTTGTCCAAAAGGAAAATAAATAATAAACACAAGGGGGGGAGGGGGCATTTTTGCCTGGGAGCTGAGCAAGGAGGAGGGACAAGCCAGGTTTCTTCATCTGGGGGAGGGCGCTGAAATTCCCACTGCGAGCCCCAGCAGTAGGATATGGCCCCAGTCATTTTTGAGGAGGCAAAAGCTCTCTTCCTTCTTCTTCTCCTCCTCCTCCTCCTCTTCCTCTCTTCTTGCTGCAGCCCAGTCCAGACAATGCTGTCATTGCCAAAGCAGGGGAGAGGGAGTGATAAAAAACATAAAAGCCTCGCTGAGAAGGAGATTAACCCTTTCAAGGGGCAGCCGTGGCTCTGCAGGGCAGGACTGTGGATCAGGGCTGGGAGAAAAGCCCTTGAGAGAGGAAATCCCGGCCCACCCTGGGGTGCTGGTGGAGAAGGATGCTGGGGTGCTCAGCCCCTCCAAACACCTTCACCCTACATGAGCCCTACAGCCCCAAGGGGGAACAGGGGCAGCCTGTGCCTCAGTTTCCCCATTCTCCTGCTGAGGCTGTGGGGGGGACGAGCCAGCCTGGAGATGTCGCCAGTGCCATGCAGTGATGTGCCCAGCCCCATGGGGATGTGGTTGGGTAGCTGTGCCAGAAGCCCCTAAACAGCATGCCAGAGGAAACCGGGCTGGATTCATTTCCACACCATTTGTAGGTGGGAAAGATGAAACAAAAACAATGAAAAGGAATTAAAAAAACCTTAGGTGCCACTGGCTGAGTGCTGGTGACACCTAAGGGTGCACTGTTTCCATGTCCCAGCTATGTGGGTGCCCTGGCACCGGCGCTGTGGGATGGGGAAGAACCCCCTGCCCAAAGAGCTGATGGCGCTGAGCAGCATGTTGAGGTTCCATGGCCGGTCCCCTTGCACTGGACACAGGGGCAAAAGGACCTTATTTTGGTGGCCAGTGGCTTTTTCAGCACTCATCGGCCTGTGCTGGGGAGGGCTCAGGCAGCAAAGCCTGGTGGCACTCCCCAGGTTGGCTTCATTCTTGTCTCTTCCAGTGTGCTCAGTGTCCCTGGCTGACCTTCGCATGACCTTGTCCCTGTTGTCCTCATTCCCATCCTCCTCCCGCTCAGCATCACAGGGTGCTGGGAGCTTCACAACCTGTACCCGCTTTAGGGGGGACCCTTGGCTCGCCCTGCCCGGGCTGACCAGGGCCTGGTGGCCCTGGGATGGCAGCAGTCCTGGGGACTCGCAGGTGAGCCAGGGTGCTGCCACAAGTGGCACATGAAGTGACATCCTCAGCCCCCTTCTTCAATGACTCATGAGGAAACTGGGGCTTTAGTAGTCCCCAAAAAACAACTCTGGGCTTGTCCCATGCCGTCCTTGATGCAAACTCTGTCACCAAGGTGCCACCAAGCTGGGCTCATAGGGATGTGTGGTGACCCACATCCTGCAAAGCCAGCTCTAGTGGCTACCCTAGGAGCATTTGGAAATCCCCAGCGCTGTCATCAGATGGTGGCATTGGGAAGGAACCAGGATGGTAGCACTGGGATGACAGCGCCAGGACTGACCTTGCTAGGATGGCAGCACCAGCATGGCCTCAGCAGGATGGTGGCTTCAGGTCAGGCCTCACTGGGATGGCAGCACTGGGACAAGCCTCACTGGGATGGCATCAGGATGGCCTCAGCAGGATGGTGGCACCAGGATTGGCACTGGGATGGCCTCGCCAAGACAGCACCAGGATTAACCTCACCAGGACCACACTGACTGGCCTCACTGGGATGGTGGCATGACTATGGTGGCCTCTCCATATGGCAGCACCAGGATTAGCCTTGCTAGGATAGCACCAGGACTGTCCTAGTTGGGATGGCATGGGAGCTGGCTTTACTGTGACTGGCCTCGCTGGGATGGCGCCAGGATGGTCTTGCTGGGACTGGCATCTCCGAGACACCACTGGAACTGGTCTTACTGAGACGGTGCTGGGATGGCCTTGGTGAAATGGTGGCACTGGGGCAGCCCTGAGATGGCCTCACCTCAAAGGCACTGGGACTGGTCTTGCTGGGATGGCCTCACCTGGATGGTGGCATTAGGATAGCCTGGTCAGGATGGCCTCACCAGGACAGCACTGGGGTGGCCTCCCCAGCAACTGTGACCTATCCCTGTCCCCACACAACTGCCTATTCAGGGGGACCCCAGAGCTCCCCTCCTGCCCCATTGGTCCTCATGAGCTCAGGGTGCCAGGGACTGGGGCTACCGACTGTGGGGCTGGAGCCCTCCATGATGGTGGCTTTGGCCGTCACTGCTTTGAGGGAGGCCACGGGTGCTGAAGGGCTCTGCTCTGGTGCTGGTCAGGGTCTCAGATCTTGCCTGTGTCCAGCTCCTGTCCTTCCCTCAAATTTCCAAACTCGTAATCTGCCTTGACCCTTTTGAGGAACAGATCACCCAAAATCCTGAGGTCTCCATGGTCTCCACAATGTGCATGGCCAGACTGGAAAGGGAAAAACACAGGAGGGAAAAAGGCTTGTGCTTAGCCTTTATTAACCATCAGAGAAGCTACACCTAGCCAGGCATGGCCCATCTCTCCGTAATGGTGAAGGGAAGGTGGTTCAGGGGGTCAAGAGGCTTCAGCTTTCATTATCCCCTTCCCTCCTTGCAGAGCTCCTACCCCATCTGGGAGGACTTCAACTCGAAGGCCACCAAGCTGCACTCCCAGCTCAGGTGAGTGGCTAGGGGGACACACAGGAGACAGGGTCCCCCAATCCCCACAGGCACATCCCGGGGTAACCAGCGCCTGCTGAGCTCCCCCCTCACTTTCTCCACCCCAGGACCACGGTGCTGGCCGCAGTTGCCTTCCTGGATGCCTTCCAGAAAGTGGCCGACATGGCCACCAACACCCGAGGTAGGGTCCTCCTGCCATGGGTGGGTGTCCCCCGGCTTGGCTGGGCAGGGGGATGGGTGAGGAATGTCCCCTGTGGGATGTCCTCTGCCTATGTGGGTTGGGTGGGCTTCAAGCAGCAGCTCCACCATCCATGGAGACATGTCCAGCCTGTCCCCACACGAGGAGGAGCATCCTCTAGGAAGGAGGGTGGGAAAGATGGGCTGCAGATGAAGCTGACCCATGGGTGCTTAGCTGTATCTTCTACGGCTCATTTGCTCAGGGGGAGATTTGGAGTGGCACAGCCCCAGGCCATGGTCCCGTGCACCCATCCCTGCCCCACCAGGATGCACCCTTGTCACCAGGAGGTGTTGGGAGGGTCCTGGCTGCTCCGGGGGGTTCCAAGGAAGGGGAATTGGATGGAGGGAGATGCAGGAGCCCACTGCTTCAGGCACAAACTCCAACCCACTGGGGAGGTGACATGAAGAGCTGAGGCTGCAGGTGGCCCACCCCCCCATGCTCTATGTGGTAGGGGGCTGGACCCCTGGGCCCTCTCCAGATGCCCGCTGGCAATGAGGAGCCGCTTCCCACCATTTGTCTTCTGTCAAGCAGATGGTCCCGGGCTCGTTTGCAGACTGGCGGCATCCAGGCCATCTGGAGCTGTGCGAGAAGGAGGAGGAGGAGGCATCAGCCTGAGCCGGGATGAGCTTTGCCTCCAAACCCACTAGCCTACTGCACCAGGGGGATTAGGGCTCCCCCAGCTCCCCTCCAGCCCAGGCACTGACAGGAAGCGAGGGGACACAGGGACACAGTGGGGGATACTGGGGACAGTGTCACGGATGCTGGGTGGTGGCATCTCGAAGACATCCCTGCTATTTTTGAAGGTGTGGGAGGCACAGCGTTGGCGTGGGGAAACTGAGGCAGGGATGGAGGCCTCACATGCGATGGTCAGCACGTGGGAGAATCAGATTAGGAGCAGCAGGAGCCAGGATAAGAGCATTAAGACCTGGATTAGTAGAACACCGAGAACACACTGGCACAGGAGAAGGCCCTCAGCCTGTGGGCTGCCCCATTCCCCCGCAGACTGAGGGGGTGCCCAAAACTCCTGCAAAGGGTGGTACATATCTCTGGAGGTTTTGGGGGGCAGAGAAAGGCAAAATATCACTCCTTAGTTTGCACCCAAGGGCTTGGGATTGCAGCTTTTCCTGGGATTTGCCAGCAGCACTGCCACCATGTGGCCATCCTTAGGCTTCAGAGTTAACAGCGGTTTCACTGAAAAGGGATGCTCCTGCTTTCAGTCGGTGGCAAATATCCCTCCCCAGGAGCCGACATTCCCTCTTTATCTGCTCTGGATGGTGTCTGGAAGTGAGGGACACGTCTGACTGCCTGTCTGAGCTGTGGACAGAAGCTGGTCCCAGGGCTGTTTGCTCCCACCCAGTTTCTCGGTCCATGTCTGGCCATCATACCTCACCCTCTCCCGTCCTTGCCCCCTCAGTGTCAAATCAGGAAAAAACAGGAGCAGGTTTTCCTTTCAAAGACACAGGAAGGGATATTTTGTGCTTTATTGAATGCTGATTTATTGATTCAGTGGATTTATCAGGGAGAAAGCAAGCCACCCCAGACCCAAAGTGTCCCCAGAGCCTGGTGTATCCCAGCACTGGTCATCCCCACTACGAGCCACCCTGCTCCCAGTATTCAAACTGGTTTGTGACTGGTGTGGTGGTGTCCCCTGCCCCTTATCAGCAGCATTTTGGTCCCCCCAGGTGCCACGAGGGACATTGGCTCTGCGCTGACCCGCATGTGCATGCGGCACCGCAGCATTGAGGCCAAGCTCCGGCAGTTCACCAAGTAAGCAGGTTCAGGGCATGGGTCACACGAGTTGGCCAGGCTCAGCCCTCCCTCAGGACATGCTGGATGCTGGCTGGACCTGGAACAGGGGGGACAGTTCCTCCCCTCCAACTCCAGCACTCTTCCACACTCTGCTTCTCCCTGCTCCAGCGCCCTCATGGAGAGCCTGATAAACCCCTTGCAGGACAGGATTGAGGACTGGAAGAAAACTGCCAACCAGTTGGACAAGGACCATGCGAAAGGTAGGACCTGTGCTGGTGGGGGACTGTCTGATTTGCAGGGGCGCTCCCCTGACAGCACCCCTGTGACCACAGAGTACAAGCGAGCCCGCCACGAGATCAAGAAGAAATCCTCTGACACCCTCAAGCTCCAGAAAAAGGCTCGCAAAGGTGAGGGGGGTATCCTGGGGTGGGGGTACCCCCACCAGCCCCTCCACAGCGCCCCATGCCAGGGTGGGCATCCCAGATGCAACCCCTGGCTGTCAGCTGGGGGTGGGCACTACGGGAGTCCCGCTGCCCCCCTGCAGAAAGGGGGTACTGGCATGGCCCAGGGAGCGTGGGGGGGAGGTGGGGGCCCTTGGCCTCTTTTCACACGTTTTCTCTGTCTCCTTCTCTCTTCCCTCCCCTCCACATCCTTCCTGTAGAGCTACTTGGTAAGTGAATCGCTGCCCCCCCATTCCGGCCCCTTCTCTGCTTCCTTGTCTGCTCCCACCATTGGTGTCCTTGGGGCCGGGGCTGCCTCCATCCGTCCATCCATCCATCCATTTGTCTGTCCCACCATCCACTCCCTGTACTCACCCCACCCTGCTTTTAGCTTAGCTTGCCCCCCACATCCCGGAGTGGTGCCAGCCCACTGTGGTAGTACCTCAGCAGGCCGCCTGGTCCCAAGCACCAGGGAAGGGGACAGGGTGGCAGAGGAGTCTCCCCCCAGGGCTGCCGTGGGGTGAGGGTTCTCCTGGACACTCCTGAGATGTAGGCACAGGGGGGACCTGTGACACCCACTGGGATGTGAGGATGGGGTGATGTCTCCCAGACAGAGCTAGGGCGTGTCCTTGGCTTGGCCTTGGAACCCCCAGCAGGTTGGGTGGGTGCCAGCAGAGCCCAGCATTGATTGTACCACATCTCGCAGGGAAGGGGGACCTGCAGCCTCAGCTGGACAACGCGCTGCAGGACGTCAATGACATGTACCTGCTGCTGGAGGAGACGGAGAAGCAGGCAGTGCGCAAAGCCCTCATCGAGGAGCGGGGTCGCTTCTGCACCTTCATCACCTTCCTGCAGCCCGTGGTGGTGAGCACAGGGGGACAGGAGGGGCTGGGAGGGGGCAGTGCTGCCCAGTGGGTGCTGATGCTCCCCCTTGTCTGGCCACAGAACGGGGAGCTCACCATGCTGGGAGAGATCACCCACCTGCAGGGCATCATTGAGGACCTGATGGTGCTTACTGCTGAGCCCCACAAGCTGCCTCCTGCCAGCGAGCAGGTCAGTGAGGGGGAAAGTTGGAGGGGGACAGCAGGGAGGGAGCATCTTTGGGAGTCTTAAACCGCATCCTTCCTGCAGGTGATCAAGGACTTGAAGGGCTCTGACTATAGCTGGTCCTACCAGACCCCCCCATCCTCACCCAGCAGCTCCAGCTCCCGCAAGTCCAGCATGTGCAGGTATGGTGGGGTAGGCTCCAGCCCCCTTCGTTAACCCCAGGTGGGTAACGATGTTTATGGCCCTTGGGGATGTTCACGAGGTGCATGTCCATCTCCATACGTCCACCTGGCCAATGTGGAGGAAATGGGATGGGCATGGAGTCTGGGCTGGTAGGACATCCATCCTCTGGGTTTCGGGGCTGATGTGAGCTGTGCAGGGGGGAGCCTGGGGGCAAACATGTCACCTTTGCCAGCCTGTCCCCTGCCACTGAGGGACCCCAGAAGGGAAACAGGGCACGCCATGAAGACCCTGTGCCTGTTTCCCCAGATTGGGTGAGTGGCAGTGTGCTGGGTTTGCTACCTGGGGACCCCGCTGCTTCTGAACCTCCATCTTATACTCTCTTTTCCTTCCTTTGTGCTCCACACCGGCATGTTCCTGACCCCACGGTGCCCCCCCAGCAGCGTTAGCAGTGCCAAGGGTGGTGCGGCATGGCCCAGCGGGGCTCAGACCTGCTCACCCAGTTCCACCTATCGCTACCGCAGCCTGGCGCAGCCACCCGCCGCCACTACCCGCCTCTCCAGTGTTTCTTCCCATGACTCTGGCTTCATCTCCCAGGATGCTGCTTACTCCAAACCACCTTCCCCCATGCCCTCGGACATCACCAGCCAGGTATGGGAGGGGTCAGAGCTGCCCACCACTGTGCCTCAGTTTTCCTTTCTGGTGGGTGCAAAACAAGGGGCTTGTTCGGAGATGATGGGACCCCAGGTGTGTTTCCAGCTGCATTGGCATTGCAGGAGGTTAATATTGGGAATATCAGAGATGCCTGCTCTGCTCAGGGATGCAACAGACCACGCTGCAGAGAAACCCCATCTGTGACCCACCCTCCAGGGATGGTGCACAGGTATTCCCCTAGGGGGCAGGGCATTTCCCTATCACCCCAGCCCCATAATACCCAGTTTGTGCCAGTCCCCCACCAGGCAGCATGGAGCAAAGCTTCCCATCATCCTGCATCCTTCCCAGTGCAAGGATGCTCCAGGACCCTCCAGCACCCTCGGGAGGTGCCAGTCCCTAGTGCTGGCTCTGCTGCCCGGCTGCCTTGCACTGCCTGCCTGCACTAACCTGGCATCTCCAACCTGGAAAGAGCTCATGGGGATCCCAAAATGACTACTGGCTCCATGGAGCTTGACGTGAGCAGGGGAAGGCCTGGAGCTGAGCATCCCAACCCTGCTGCTGGGTCATATCCTGCTCTGCTGCCATGGTGGGGGGTGTCCTGGGTTGGCTGGGAAAGCTGTGGGTACTGCTTTAACCTGGTCCATGGCTCTGGCTGTGCTTCCTAACCACCTCTTCTCTCGCACTCTGGTCACCACTTGGCACACAGAAGTCCTCCAGCTCAGCATCCTCGGAGGCCTCTGAAACCTGCCAGTCAGTCAGCGAGTGCAGCTCCCCCACCTCGGTTAGTTCTTGCTCCACAGCCTCGTGGGGTTCAGCCTCCAGGTCCCCCCATCCCACCCCACTGTGGGACAGAGCACCCATGGCTGAGGGGACACATTGGTGTATGCCCCTTCCCACCCTGCCCTGCTTTTGGTTCCCAGTCCCGGTTTCACCAGTATTACCCCATGTCTTGCCCATTGCAGGACTGGTCCAAGGCCAGCCCCTATGACCAGCCAGTGGTCCCAACGCTGCAGCGGCGCAAGGACCGTGTGGAGCACCTGCGGGAAGCTGAGATGGGCTCATCTGCTGGGGGGTACCCCAGCGTCGTTAGCGAGGATGCTCCCAGACCCCGGATGTCCCCAGCTACCATTGCAGCCAAGGTACCTGCTCTACTGGGGAAAGCACAGAGGTAGTGGGCTTTTTGGGGGCTCCCAAGAGAGGAACCAGGGTGCTGATGGTGTCCCCTTGTCCCCGCAGCATGGAGAGGAGGTATCCCCCGCCGCCAGTGACCTGGCCATGGTCTTGACACGGGGGCTGAGCCTGGAGCACCAGAAGAGCAGCCGGGACTCGCTGCAGTACTCCAGTGGCTACAGCACACAGACCACCACCCCGTCCTGCTCTGAAGACACCATCCCTTCCCAAGGTACCCAGCAAGGGGCGCCCAGGGCCACCCAAAATGGCATCCAGAGCCGTGAAGGGGACAGAAGATGGTTTAGTGGTCCTAGGGTACATCTGTGTGCACTGCGTGTTGTAGCACGGCGTCGTGGCTGCGATCACATCACCCAGGGGCTGGTGGATGAAGACTTAATGGGGGGGTGAGGTTCAATGTATGGCACAAACAGCATAACTACAGTTCCACCTGGTTATTTGGGTCTTGACAGCTACAGTTGCTCTGGGCAGTGCAATAACAGGTAGCATCACAGCAGGGTGATGGTTTGCTGTGACATATTTGTGCCCAGCTGTTGAGTACAGGTGGAGATGCTGGCAGATGATGGGTGATGGCAGTGGAGGTGACAGCTGGAAATCCAGTAACCACAGGGATCATGTGGCATGGTGATGGCTGAGACAGCTGTGGGCACGTGATGGTTGGCTGTGATCATGTTGTGAAGGCAGTGGTTAGGGTGGTTGTGATTATTATAGTTGGATTTGACTACAGCCATGTGGTGGAGATGGTTGAGGCCACTTGTGATGATCATGGCTGTTTGTTTGTGACCATGTTAGAATGACAGTGGCAGGAGCTGGGTGTGATTGCATTGCGATGGTGACAATTGGGTTTGGTTGTGATCTCAGTGTGGATGGTTGAGGTAATTGTGGTTACCCTGCACTGGTGATGGTTGGGTTTATCATAGAATCATAGAATAGTTAGGGT